CCCGAGAGGACCGTCTTAGTATACTGTCTCTGTGTGTCGTTTGAGGCTTCACCGTGTCGATACGATTTTCATGTATAGAAAGAAGTATATGAATATGTGATAATTTTTATGTATTGATTATACAGTATTTATTCATTATTCTCGTGCTTTATCTGTACGTCATAGTGGTTAAAGATGACTTTGTCTCATACTGAAGCAGGTTAGTTTCTTTTCAGATGTTTCTCTTTAAATTTCTTCCTTGTAAATAGCATATTTGACAATTAAAATATTTTCTGTTCTCTAGTGCAGATGTCAAAACAGAAAGAATACAGTTTCTTTGTAATCAGAAGTATCTTCATCTGAGCAGTTGTCCCTCTGCTTCATGGTTGCATAAGCGAATCAAACAGGTTTTGAGCATGTCACAGGTAAACAGTTAAACAGTAGTCGGTGGTAATTAATAGTTTAAGATAACATGCGGTAGCTGTATTTGTTGGTTTCCATGAATATTAATAGATTAATATTACTGCCTTTATAAGCAAAGTAGCAATGGAAGTTTTATTCTGTTAAATACACAGCAATTGGTTTGTAGACACGCACATATTTAGGTGTGTGTGTTAGTGTGTGTACACACCCAAAAAAAAAAAAAAAAAAAAAAAAAAAAAAAAATATATATATATATATATATATATATATATATATATATATATATATGTGTGTGTGTGTGTGTGTGTGTGTGTGTGTGTGTGTGTGTATGTGTGTGTGTGTGTGTGTGTGTGTGTGTGAGTGAGTGAGTGAGTGAGTGTGTGTGTGATAAAATACACCACTTGTTACCATGATGAGCTTGTAATCTAATTCACCCTCAAACGCTCAAATTTGCTGAAATGCCGTGACATGTGTGACAAGAGTAGCATGACAGAGAAACAGCGAGCATTAAACACAATGCATTTTTATGACAAGCTGATTTTTCGGTCTCACGCACGGTGGTTGGTTCTGTCAACAGTAAACTCACCGGTTTTAACTTTGGCTCGTGTCATAATGATTCGACGTTCTGTTTTCGGATTTGTTGACGCTGGCTGTAGAGATTAGGCCTGGGAAATGTTATTCCTGTTTGTGATAAGAGTGATCCGTGGGATTTTCAGAAAATGGATGGGAAAAAAGGATGGATTATGATGAAATTTGTGTGTGTTCGAGTACGTGTGTGTGTGTGTGTGTGTGTGTGTGTGTGTGTGTGTGTGTGTGTGTGTGTGTGTGTGTGTGTGTGTGTGTGTATGCGTGTGTGTCCGTGCCTGTGCCCTTGCTGTCTATAATTATATTTACTGTTTATTCGGCACCTATTTAGTGGGTTACCTGTATTTTTTTCTATTCTATTCATTTACCAGTTTATTATATATTGGAATTCATCCCCTGATTTTTGCGACAAAGTTATGTAATCTGAACTTTAGATTGATGATGCAATCGCCATCGCTATCAGTGGCTGTAAATTACCAAGGCTCTTGTGACACTGAAGTAGATCTTTCATCAATAACAATAACAACAAAAAATAGAAACGGAAAATCATACCACGAGTTTTTTTGTTTTTTTTTTTTGTTTTTATTAATTTGATTAATATTAGTTAATATATAGTAACATGCTTGTATACCTGCTGAGACAGGTTTGAATATATAATTACATAAATACATACACAGATAATTAATTCAATCAATCATCAATCATTTGGAGCTAACGCCGGCAGGGGCGCATAGCCACATCCACCTTTCGCTACCACCTGCGAGGGTCTCTCATGGCGAGCCGCTAGGCAGGGGCCCGGCCCCTATCTCTAGTTCCTCATGACAGGTTTGATCGATCTGCCCAAGCCACGACCTTCTTAGTCGTCCCACAGGCCTCCTCCACCCGCGGTTGTCTCGAACAGAGACAACCTTGTAGGCAGGGTCATCCTGCGAGTCTTGCCAAGTGGCCATATAGCCTGAGTTGGCGATCACGGATTGTGCAAGTAACAGGTCCTGTACCGGTCTCATGGTGCGACCGTTGGTTGGACACATGGTCCCGCCAACTGTACCCCATGATCCGGTGCAAGGATCTGTTACAAAAGGTATCAAGACGAGATTCCAAAGCACAAGATAGCGTCCAGGTTTCACTACCATATAGTAAAACCGGCACTATCAGGGCCTTGAAGACATGTAGCTTGGTCCTTCTGCACAGGTACCGGCATCTCCAAATACTCTTGTCGAGAGATTTCATGACCCCTGCTGCCAGGCCAATCCGTCTACTGACTTCCTGGTCTGACAGCCCAGATTCGTGAACTGCACTACCGAGGTATATAAGGCTCTTGGTAACTTCAATGTTTTTGCCGCAAGCACGTACCGACTGCACAGGGTCTCCTAGTAGGCCTCCAAAATCCTGGATCCACAGTGACTTTGGACAGTAGCTCTACCTAGTATCCAATCCATGCAAGTGTTGAAAAGTGTTGGTGCAAGAACACAGCCTTGCCTCACACCTGAACTAACAGGGAAAAAGCTCGACA